TACTACTACTACAAATCCTTTTACTATAACTGCTGCTGCTGCCGCTACTACTACTAATGCTGTTGCTACTACTACTGTTTCTTATTCTTATTTTTATTTCACAATGTATCCTACAGCCCTTTCCGAGCATATTCCGATGATAAAGTGAACACTAATGTGTTATTGCAATATAGAGGAATTAAAAAAAAAACTTACAAAATATTATTTCTACCTTCTATAGTCAATTATCTAATTCTTGAGACAAGCATATTTGTGGGAACTCGCCCTTCTTAAGCAATTTAGACAATACGCAAAAGCATGTCAGTGAAGTAGGCAATGTATTTCAACAGCAGTAGAGCAGAGAAACGGGGATGGTGGCACTTTTAGGGAACATGGATAATCTTTTCAGTTTCAGGCAAGCTACTGTGTCTCTTTGGATAATTCCAAAGATAATTCACCAGCTGTCGTCTGCCATACAAGAGTGGTATCATCATAATCATTATCATCATCATTATCATCATAAACCACTTCTGCCGTTAAGCGCCGTGGGGAGGATATTTTGCGATGCAGTGCACGTTGGCTGCCACTGGCTATTGTCATGCCATGTAGACACAGTGTGTCTTTAATGTTGTCGATCCATTTTTTTGCGGCCGTCCTCCTACTCTTGTATCTTATCTTTTGAGATTTAGTGCCTGTGCTGGTATTTAGTGCATTCCAGTGAGATGGCCAAACCACTTGATCTGCTGTTTCTTTATAAATCTAGTACAAGGTATAGTTTCCACAATCTGTCTTATAGTATTTTTCACTCAATCCCTGATGATTAGGCTGGTGGCTTTTCTCAGGCATCTCATCTCGCAAGCGGTGATTTTGAGTACATAGGCTTTAGATAGTGTCCATGTTTGGCACTGGTAGCTTAACGTTTGAATGAATATGCTGTTTATAATTTGTAAAGAATGTTAAATCAATATCCTTATCGTCTAGATTATTAGGTTAACTTCCTATATCTTGTAGAGTCTGTGATGAATTCCTTAGGGCCCAATTATTTACTGGTTTTAAACTAAACACTCTGGTGTAGAATGAGTTAAACCAAACACTCATCATTATCCTTCGTGTGCTGTTAGAAGTCACATAGAGTTAGCATTGGATTATTCCACTCGTTCTATTGCACGCAACTCTCTCGATTTCTGACATAGAGTTCAGTCCAGCATTTTTTGCCTCTCTAAATAATATTCTTCTTAACGTTTCCCTGGGCGTCCTCTTTTTCTGAGACCGTTTGTTTCCATTTCAATTCTCGTTTTGTAATTCTTTGCTCATTTCGTCTCATATGTGCCCAGTATATTTTTACCTCCTTTGTCTTTTTGAAGTCGATATTAAATTTGTCCGGACATTTCTTTGCTCTCCACCCCCTCCATTTTAAAATCTATCCTATTTTGTGTTCAAAAATGTTCTCAGACATTTATTTTCCTGATTTTTTCTTTCTTTTTGTGTGGATGGAAGGACGTAGAGGTCATTTCGAAAAGCCCGTGATGCACCGAAAGGGCGGTGAAGTGCATCAATTCCCCGGTCGTGGGTATTTCTGAATACTTTTTTGTAAAGTCTGGCCTGGAGAACATTTTGACATTTGATTCCAGGAGATTTTGACATTTGACATATTTTAGAATCAAGTTGAGTGAGCTGTAAATAAGTGGCGCCTCTAAGGGTACCAATGCTTTTTTTTCTGCCCTAATCATTACAATGTCTTCTTTTGCTGTCTTTCTTTTCACAACAATGTTTTCCTGTTGTCTATTTAAATAATGCGGGCATAGACAATACATTGCACAATTTATTGCCTGGTATATTTGCTTGTGTCGGCTCTGTGGCTAAGTCGATGCGAACGCTTCTTAATCCTGGGGTACCGTGTTCGATCCCAGCTGCGGGCAATACGCCTTGCGTTGGTTTCGACAGTGGTATCAGTGAGCTGACCGTCCAGAGGCAATGGCAAACTACTGGACGTAATTTGCCTAGTGAAACCACACAACAGCCAGGGGCTGATGGGGTTGGTTCTGCAACGTCCTGTGAAGGATACGCAACTAACCTTTCAGATATTTAGCTGTATCTCGCCAGGTGCATACTACAGAGTGAAATCAGCACATAATGAAGCACACATTTCTTTCTGAAATGCATCAAACATATTGTCTAGTTACTTACATCTATCGGCTGGAAATTCAAAATCGGTGTCATGATTAACATGGTAATTTCAAACTGACTATGTGATCGTTTTGTTTACATAACATAGAAGAGTAGAATTATGTAAACAGAAAGATCCCGTGATAAATTTGAAGTTACCATGGTAATCACGTGACCGATTTTGAATTCCGGCGGATGAATGTAGTCTTTCTTATTCCTAAATAAGAGATGTGCAAAAAAATTCGAAGTGTCGCTTTTTGTTACACGACAAATTACGAATCGAGGATTTCTTGTTCTTATCTCTTTAATATTATAGACGGAATATTTTGGTGTGGGCACAACGTAAATAATCATTGGGGCTGAGAGAATTAATCTTCTATCATTATTGGAGCTAAGTTCACGTCTCCTCTCTCGGCGACAAAATTAAATAACCCAACCTACATCAGCTACGCGGCCTTAAATCCTGTCTCAAAACAAATTTAGGAGCCATGGTGGCGTGTTGCCTCCGAACGAAGGTCTTAGTTTCGAATTCCTATTGAGTCGGACTTTTTTTTTCTTTTTTAGAAATGCGCTTCGATCACAGGACTCATACTTTTAAAGATCGATAGACAATCAGTGGGTGCGGTGGTTGACATCAAGCCGACCGCCTTTACTTCCCAAGACTTTATCTGATACCTATTTTAGGCCGGGTCGACCAGGGAGCAAATGTCAATTTTGGAAGAAAACAAATCCGACTCGGTGCAGACTCGCATCGATGATCTTCACGCTGAAGGCGAGCGTCTAGCCACTGCACCACCGCTGGAGAGAGATAGAGAGAGTGATAGAGAGAGAGAGAGAGAGCGAGAGAGAGAGAGAGAGAGAGAGAGAGAGAGAGAGAGAGAGAGAGACTTTCACGCGTGCCGTGACGAGAGCGACTTTCTGTAAAGGTCCTGCGGTGCTTTATTAATATCCTACCCCAAGCAGGGGAAATCCACCGGTCACGAGGCAGTCTAATATTTCAGGGGGTGGTAGATAGGCTGCATGCAGTCGTGTGACCTAGGCTAAACTCTCTCGTGGGACGTAGGTGGGTTGGGGTTAGGGCCAGTTCTACATGTTTTGGAGTCATTAAAAGCATCAGAAAGACGGGAAAACCAGTCTTACCACCCTCTAAAGTATTGGACTTACTGTGACGTCATCTGGGGGTGAGATATTAATAAAGAACCGCACCTGCTGATTTATGATGACATTATTATATTTAATTGCCATTCAGCATATAATCATAACAATAATAATATTACTACTATTGCTCACAGGATTGTGAAGATACTTTTTTATGAGAGTAAACTTTCAGAGAGGTTAACTGTTGCTGGAGTTAAGTTAGTCTTTCCTCTTGAGCCTTAGGCGGCTGATAGGGCAGAGGTCATAGCTCTCCATGTCTGGCGGTTAGTTGCCACCTGATTTAGGTCTTGGATGTTTGTTAGGCCCATAGTTGAGCCCTCCCTGATGATGGATCTAGGCAGAGTCTCTCTTGGTCTTCCCCGTTTTCTTTTCCCTTCCGGTGTCCATATAAGGGCTAGATGGGGGAGTCTTGTTTGCTGCTAGAGTGGCTGCCAGTAAGGCCAGATTTCTTTAACGTGCTCAGTGATGTGCAGTTCTGAACCACACGTGGTTGTACACCAGGAGCAGAGCTCATTTTGGCAATACTTTGTCTAAGAAACAGATTCCTAACCAAAAACCTGACCAACTGAGATGAGATCGTCATCTTCTTTGAAGCGAAGAACATCTGACTGAGAGTCAAGAAAGGCTAAGTATACACACGAATACGCCAGATTTGAAAACTGGCGAGGATGCAACAATCAAATCCTGGAACAAGGATGAACTCCAGAAGTGGACGAACAGCCAGAACTTTCTGCCATAGTTTACAGCCGGTGAACGTGAAGAAGAAGAATAACATGCTCTGACAAAATGAAAATGTGAGAGAATACACAATGTGGTGGCTGCGACTGAATGAGAATAGACTGGGGCCCCACGCGAGGAAGGGGGGGGGGAGAGGGTAGAATAGACTGGGGCCCCACGTGAGGAAAGGGGGGGGGGTAGAATAGACTGGGGCCCCATGTGAGGGGGAGGGTAGAATAGACTGGGGCCCCATGTGAGGAAGGGGGGGGGTAGAATAGACTGGGGCCTCATGTGAGGAAGGAGGGGGGTAGAATAGACTGGGGCCTCATGTGAGGAAGGAGGGGGGGTAGAATAGACTGGGGCCCTATGTGAGGAAGGGGGGGGGGGTAGAATAGACTGGGGCCCCATGTGAGGAAGGGGGGGGGGTAGAATAGACTGGGGCCCCATGTGAGGAAAAGGGGGTAGAATAGACTGGGGCCCCATGTGAGGAAGGGGGGAGGGTAGAATAGACCGATTGCCTCCCTAACAAGCATGTCGTAAAAGGTGACTAAATAGAAGAGTTTCCATCGAAACACTGCATCTGCCTGAGAGGCATGGAACCAACAGTCTGCATTAAAATAAATAAGATCTGTAAAATGGATGTGCACGTAAAACTCAAGTTTTGCAACAAGACCAAAGTGCAGAAATTGACAAACAGCCATAACTTTCCGCCGGAGTTTACAGCCGGTGAAGGCTATGATAATGGTGAAGAAGAAGAAGAAGAAGAAGAAGAAGAAGAAGAAGAAAAAGAAGAAGAAGAAGAAGAAGAAGAAGAAGAAGAAGAAGAAGAAGAAGAAGAAGACTGGGAAGAAGCAATCAACCGTAGTCACATGCTGCTTATTACAACAACAACAAATAATAATAATAACAGTTAATGATCTTGCTGTTTGTTCTTAATTTCAGAATAACCTTCGCTGGATCCTGGCCGCCGAGTGAAAACAATGGCGGAGTATGGGGAGGGATATACTGAGCCGTTGGATGACTCCAGCTCGGAGTGCCCGGCAGAGGAGCGACATGACGTAGGAGGCAGTAAAAGAGGGAGTAGAGGTGTGGTGACATCGATCGTAAAGTCTGTCTCTCTATTGTCTTTTCCTCCAGTCGAATGGTGTATCTTTTCACTACTCCTATTGTGGTTAAACCTAGGATTGTGAAAAACTTATTCATGATTTCCAGGGCCAGATGTGTTGCTTTGCCCATGTCTTATTTGTGTCTATACCCCATGAGGTCCCATTGTAGGGAAAACGGTGCTTTATGAAATCCTACCCCAAACAGAGGAAATCTACAGGTCACGGGACAGTCTAATATTTCTGGGGGTGGTAGATAGGCTGCATGTAGTCGTGGGGCCTATGCTGCATGCAATCGTAGGACCTAGGTTGCACTCTCTCGTGGGACCTAGGTGGGTTGGGGTTAGGGCCAGTTCTAGATGTTTTGGGGTCGTTAAAAGCATCATACAAATGAGAAACCCGTCTTATCACCCTCTGAAATGTTGGACTGTCCTGTGACGTCATCTGTGTTCAGATATCACAAAAGAACCGGGAAAACCTCTTCTTTATTCACCGGCTGTATGCCCTGGGGGAAAGTCCTAGTATTTCGTTCATTTGGACTTTCGCTATGTGCCAATGCCCGTTTTTTTGCGTGTACATCCCTTTTACTTGTTTATTTATGTGCAGTTTGTGAATCAATGAATAAATGAGGGAGATCCAATCCCATCAGGGGATCCACCAAGTGATAAACATTCAGTGACACAAAGTGCCACCATGCCGATGAGCATCACTCTGGGAGAGCTCCCAAAAACCCCGTTCAACCGTTAGGTTATATTAGGGCCTCCGACTGTTTGTTGTTTCTTGGTCCTCAGACAGAGGCTACTCCGACTCCAAAGGAAGTTCTCAATTAGTCGACTCTTACAACATTTTTTCGGGAGGGGCGGGGCGGGCGGGCGGGGGGGGGGGGGGAGACAGTGAATCTATTCTTGTTTTCCCTACAAATGAGGCCCAGAATCCACACGGGGAGTGGTGAAAACAATAACAGATCCACTGCCCCCTTCCCCACACCGCGAACAAGCATGTCGTAAGAATTGGGAGCTTCCTTCGAAGTCAAAGTGCATCTACTTTCGAGGCAAGGAACCAACAACTTGCATACAAATATGTAAAATGGATGTGCACGCAACACTCATGTTATGAAACAAGACTTAAATCCAGGGATGGACGAACAACCAGAACTTTCTGCGGGAGCTTATAGCTGGTGAACGCGAAGAAGAAGAATTTTTGTTTCTGTGTTATGTGTAAACTGTCTTTACTGCCAACTTGAATACATTTTTGTTTCTGTGTTATGTGTAGACCGTCTTTACTGCCAGCTTGAATACATTTTTGTTTCTTTGTTATGTGTAAACCGTCTTTACTGCCAGCTTGAATACATTTTTGTTTCTGTGTTATGTGTAGACCGTCTTTACTGCCAGCTTGAATACATTTTTGTTTATTTTTGTGTTTTACAGCGAGACGCGTGTGAATCCAGAATAATTTTTAAATAATAATTTAAAACAACATCTTTGCTTTGTACATTTAAATATTGCGAAAACAAACACTACGTGGCATTTTCGCTGTATCTCGCCAGGTGCATTACTACAAAGTTGAATCAACATATAAAAAAAGGGTTCTTTCGTAATATCTTACCCAGATGACGTCACAGGAAGTACAACGTTTTAGAGGGTGGTAAGACTGGGTTTCCTGGCTTTCTGACGCTTTTAACGACACCAAAACATCTATAACTGGCCCTAACCCAAACCCACCTACATCCCGCGACTGCATGTAGCCTAGGTCTAACAAAAAAAGTAAAGGTTCCTATTCTACGCCTTTAGGCGTACTGGGAATTAAAGTCTGAAGCAAAAAAAAAAAAAAAAATCAATATATAATGAAGCATAAAAACATGAATCCTTTTCGCTGGAATACAAAATCACATTGCGGAGTTGTGGCTGTACATCACTCGACCGGAAATGCCAGATCAGCCACGGGAATGCCATGGTTACTTAAAATATATTACCTAATATGCCAGGCAATAATTGGGCAATGTGTTGCATATCGTCGCAATATTTATATTATTATAAAGCTAAACAATTTCACGAGGCCTTGGATACATGTTTTATAGAAGAATCCTTAGAATTCCTTGGACAGCAAATGTTTTGAAAGAGGCAAATGTACGAAGACAACTTATCAAAAACATCAGAATCAAACACTATCTTTTTTGAATCATTGTATGAGTAGTACTAGTATTTTTTTTTTTAAATATCCCCTTCAATCCTCAGGGTTATGACTGGGATATCAAGTGTTAACTGAATTCTCAGACTACATATTTATTTATATGACCGATATGTAATTTGCATTGTTTTACATACTGTTTTAATCTGGGTTGTGATTATCATAGAAACGTTATTAAAAATAATGAGACAATCTTACTAGCATAACATTTTTATTTTATTTTATGAGAAGATAGAAACTGGGATATGTAGTGACCACTGGAAAGATCTGTGGAAAAAGAGACACAAGGAAGACAGCGCGAAACGATTCCTAATAATTTTTGTCGTAGCATGGAGGGGTGTCAGCACACAAACTCATACATGCATTTGAAGAACGCAGATTATGGAGAAATATGATCGTAGGAGGAGAGGCAGACGGAGACTGAGAGAAAATATGCTGGACAGTTTGACATCATGGCATGGAGGATCGTCTGTGTCAGAGTTGATTGAAAGTACACGAGACAGGTTGTGGATAGACATGACTACCAACGCCACACGACATGGACTATGGAAGACCATCTGTGTCAGAGTTGATTGAAGTTACACGAGACAGGTTGTGAATAGGCATGACTACCAACGACCCACGGCATGGACTATGGAAGGCCATCTGTGTCAGAGTTGACTAAAAGTACACGAGACGGAAGGTTGTGGATAGACATGACTACCCACGCCACACAGCATGGACTATAAGAGGAAGACGATCGTCTACGCCAGTCGGCAAAATACTTGATGATAATGATACCGGTATGACAGCCGGGTCCTGAGGCTGACGACTGAGAACCGCATGTTTAGTGCAGCTGTCGCGACTATACGCGTTAGGATTTTATGTTTGCATTTGTCAGATTAATAATAATCCATCGCGCTACAGAGGATTCGAACCAGCACATCATTCTTAACCGCTCGACCAGCCTCTTCTCTCTGTGAAGTATGTAGTGCAAATTTAGACTCAGTTTACGTTCCCCGGCCCATCTACACACGGGCTTACCTTTCATTGATACTTTTTCAGACTCTTATACGTCACAGGAGTGTCACGTTGTCTTGTTCCCAACTACATTAGCGCCGATGTCGCGTGCTCTACACTACACGACGACACAGCTTTCAACGACCCCAGAATATCTAGAACTGGCCCTAACCCAAACTCCCCTACCCACAGCCTGAGCCTAGGTCCCATGAGAGACTCTTTTCGAATAAAGCAGTATAACCTGACACCCCTCTGACCTATATCAGACTGAGAAAGTGTGTAGATAGGCCGGGAAATGTGAACAGGTCCCAAATGTAACCCTTCTACTGGTCACTGATGTGGGAGTAGTTATTGGTTGACGGAAATGAATATATAGGCATACACATGAAGTTTCAGCTTTATAGTATACATTTTTATTATTATTATTATTATTATTATTATTATTATTATTATTATTATTATTATTATTATTGTTAGTTATTATTATTATTATTATTATTATTATTATTATTATTGTTATTATTATTGTTATCATTATTATTATTTGTATTATTATTTTAATTAAATTATTAATATTATTACTATTAGGCTTCGGTCTCTTGAGACTCCATCTCTGTCAGAAAGCTGAAGCAGCCGCCCCTTCTCACCCCCACCCAACGTTATCTTTGTGTCGGCGTCTCTTGTGTTGAGTATACAATATATACGACATATTTCTTGTGACCATTCGGGACGAATATCACGTAGATCGCCTTTACTTCCCAAAACAATTCCTGGTGAATGTTTTTTTTTAATTTACAGGGTCGAACAAAACTATACTAGATAAGGTCGGCATAGAACCAATTCTTAATTACGTACAAAGACAGCAAATCAGATGATGTCTTCACTTGGAGGGAATGCATTCTGATGCTATACCATACAAGGCATATACCAAAAGAGGAGAAGGGCGTACAGCAGGAGGTAGACAAAGAACAAGATGGGAAGATAACATCAGAGAAACTCTACAGCACCCACGATATTTCTATGGTTGAAGCAGCCAGAAAAGCACAGAGCGGGTTCCTATATCTCCCTCGACACCCAAAGCGGTAAAAGAGGACGTAAAAAAGAAGATACACGGTCAAATTTTAATTTTTCAACATTGTTCTCACTGAAACAGGTTATAGAAACTGTTCATAAAATACAAAAATGCAGTCTATGTACGTATAATTATGTACATGATGCGGACAATAATAATATATACACGGCGGCCTCGCTTCCGGGAACTTTTTGACCGTACCAGTGTAATCTTTCGTTATGTACTATTTCGGGGAGCTGGGGGGGGGGGGGGGGGGGGGGGGGAAGGGGAGAGGGGGGGGGGGATAGTCTTAAGTGCGAACGGTCGTAAGTGGCATTGGTCGTAATTCGAAGAGAAGGCGTTTCCGTAAGCTCTGGCTTGCTGAGAAATTTCCGCCTTAAGAGAAATTAGAGCTCACTAAACAATGAGCCTGCAGGTGAAGTTGTTACCGACTGCGCCACCCTCTTCACAATCAATAAATATAAATGTTGGTAATCGTGGTCAGATTCTCATCCGTCAAAGGCAACATTAACTAAACAAGATAAGCTGAACATGTTGTGGCGAAAGAGCCAGAGGTCGACCGCGCAAAAGATGGACCGCAGAAATATCACAGACACTGAAAAGTACTTTATACGAAGCGAAAAGAAGGGCCCATTCCAGAGATCTCCCCATCCCCTGACGCCGAGAGGCATTCCAGGAGTAGAGGAAAGATGAAGAAGGAAGAAGTTGTGGTGACTGCTTTGGCAAATGGTCCTCAATCAAACATCGTATTATTCATCACCAGACAAAACAGCTGTGCAGCTTGGCAGAATTGGAGTTCAAGTTCTAGTTAAGGGGTGAGGGGAGAGAGAGGTGGAGAGAGAAAGTGTGTGTGTGAGAGAGAGAGAGAGAGAGAGAGAGAGAGAGAGAGAGAGAGAGAGGTGCTGGAGAGAGAAATAGAGATGGAGTTAGAGATAGAGAAAAAATAAAGAGAGAGAGAAGAGAGAGAGAGAGATAGAGAAAAAGAGATCTGGAGAGAGAGGACTGGAGGAAGAGTGAGTGGAACAGATAGAGATGGAGGAGGAGGAGAGAGAGAAATAGAGAGAAAGACAAAAAGAGAGAAGAATGAGGAGATGGAGTGAGAGAAAGCAGGAGATAAAGAATGTAAGAGGGACCAGGAGAGAGACATAGAAAGTGAGAAAGAGAAAGGCCATGCTGCCTAGAGCCCAGAATGTCGCGGGTTTCTTCTGAATTGTAATTGGCTCACAACTGTCAGTTTTTAAAGGTCCACGAGATCTGTGCTGAAGCCCCGACAAATTTAAACTTTTGGTGCCCTTTTCGATGGGCGACTGGCAGCTCTCCGTAGTGTGTATGTCTGTGTGGGAGAGAGAGAGAGAGAGAGAGAGAGAGAGAGAGAGAGAGAGAGAGAGAGAGAGAGAGAGGGGGTACTAACATACAAATATGCATGCATATAGACAAACAGAGAGACAGACAGAGACATACAGACACAGAAAAACAAACCAACACACAGCGATAGAGATCCAGAGTCAGAGACTGACAGGAATGACGACAGACAGAGGCATACTGAGACAGACAGACGAAGAAAGGCAGACAGACAAACAACAGACGGAGAACGAGAGAGATCGCTACGTCAGATAGTATCTTTGATTTTGTTGATAGTGCGAGATGACGAACCAGAACTATTTGAGCCTATCAGCCACGTCCCTGGTGGTTGTAAAATCATGACGATAATAGTGATGATAATGGTGATGGATAATGGTGATCATGATGATGGTGATGAAGATGGTGACGATGATGGTAATGATGATGGTGATGATGATGGTGATGACGATGGTGATGATGATAGTGATGATGATGGTGATGATGATGGTGATGATGATGGTGATGATGATCGTGAATGTTTAACAATTTCTCAGCAGATTCAGAGCCCAAGCCCAAGCGAAAGAGAAGTTGTCCCATGTACTTTGGGGTCAAGTCCTACCTGCACCAGTTTTATGAAGACCATGGTTACAAGGACCCGGCTCTCTACGAGGAGGATGATCACCAGTATCTGCTGTCGCAGCGCAGACGACGACTTCGGTGCACGCCCATCTGGTGGAAGGTAGGAAAGGTAGAAACAGATCTTTTGCAAAGAACAGTATCAGTGAAAAAAAAAATCTTTCATGAGGTATAGTTTTTTTGTTGTCTTTCCAAGAATTATACCAGTCACCATCTTTTCTAAAATATAGTTTTATTTGTTTGCTTTTCAAAAATCATATCAGTGCACAAAAACATATCCCCAGTATAGTATAGTTTTTTTCTGACTAAGAATTATATCAGTTCACGTAAACATATATTTTGTTAGATATTGTTGTATTTGTTGTTTTTCCAAGAATTATATTAGCGCACATAAAAATTGCTTTTGTAAAAATGGTTTGTTTTATTTCCAAGAATTATATTAGTTGATATAAACATATCTTTTTAAGGTATAGCTTTGTTTGTTTTCTGCTCAAGAATTATTTTAGTGAACATAAACATATCTTTTGTAAGGTATCGTTTAGTTTCCCTTCTTTCCAAGAAATATATCAGTGCACACATAAACGTTTCTGTTGTCTGACTGACTTTCTTCCCTACCAGGGCATCACATAAGCGATAAACACTCGATGACACAAAGTTCAGCCTTTAGGCCATATTTATGGCCAGGCTATATTGCGGCCCCTGGCAAGAGCCAGAGTAGGGCTTCAAATAACGACAAATTTCATCATAAAAAGGATGAGTAGTATAATTCTGTTGTAAGGTATAATTGTGTTTATTTTGTGTCCAAGAATACTACTATGTATACATCGAATAGGAATCGCAGTGAATTCCTCTATTTGGTTTTATCATGAATTTTTGTTTCTGTGTCTTCAGGTGTGGGTTCCGGGGGCCCACTGTGGGGAAAATAAGAACAGACCCACTGCCTCCCCAACAAACATGTCGCAGAAGTCGACTAATTGGGGGCTTCCTTCAAAGTCAGCGTGCATCGGCCCGAGTGGCAAGGAACAACCAACTGCACACAAATAAGCCAGTTAAATGGACATACACGCAAAACTTAGGCCCTGGCACAAAGCCAAAGTTCACATGGACGAACAACCAGGACTTTACACTGGACCTTATGCCGGTAAACAAAGAAGAAGAAGAAGAAGAAGAAGAAGAAGAAGAAGAAGAAGAAGAAGAAGAAGAAGAAGAAGAAGAAGAAGAAGAAGAAGAAGAAGAAGAAGAAGAAGAAGAAGAAGAAGAAGAAGAAGAAGAAAAGAAGAAAAAGAAGAAGAAGAAAAAGAAGAAATGTATGTGCCATGAATGAAGCCTCGATCGGCGCTTGTGGCTTCTATAAATGTTTTTCCATGGATTTCATCTGAAAGTCCTCTCTTCCACAATCTATTCATTTCCAATTTCAGTGTCTGCTTTGTGAATGCTTATTCTCTTTATCTCAGAAAGCCCTTCATGCCACGATGATAAACTGTTCAACATTCTCTCTCTCTCTCTCTCTCTCTCTCTCTCTCTCTCTCTCTCTCTCTCTCTCTCTCTCTCTCTCTCTCTCTCCCTGTGTCTGTTCTCCTCCGCCTCTCTTCTTGTTTTTTTTTCACTTCCTCTTTTACTGCTTCAGGTGTCGGGAGAGAGACATAAGTTATTGCTTCTGGCTCTTCTAGCTCAATCAGCATCAAGTCGACTGCCTTGTACCATAAGGACCCGAAAGAATAATAGACATTGGGAAGGGGAAGAGGGAAAAAAAAGGGGGGGGGGGGCAAAAACTACTAGCACCAACAACTAACCAATGAAATAGCAGCATATTTTGGTGCCACAACTATAACATAGGCCTCTTATGAAGCAGCCCTTTCAGGTTGGCTGTTGAACGTGGTTATCTTGAACCACTACGAGTCTTCTAACACTTGACCATTGACATATAGTGTAACGTTTTTCTGAAGTTATCTTTCCATTTTGTTCTTGGTATATCTTGTGATCTAAATCCTTCTTCTCGTCTTTTGGGGTATCCCTTGTATTGTATGGCGTCGCAAAGCATTCTTTCTAAGTGGGCAAACCATTTGATTTGCTGTCTTGGTTTTGTAATTTACAACTGGTTCTGTGCCGCTTTTTTGTGTCTTTTAGGACGTCAGTGCTGATTCATTAAATTGTGGGTTGTCTAATTACAGCTGTTCATGTGGATTGGAGTCATTCTTCTTTTGTTTGGAGTAATGGGTATTTTGATCGGCTACCTCGTACCACCTCGACACGTGTTAATAGAATCTCCCGATGACCTCAGTGGCGAAGCCTATATTGACGAGAAAGCGCAGGAATACAACACGACCCTTGACATGTGCAAGCTCATCGGACTCATCTTATTCTGTGTTGGGGGTGTCACACTTGCACTGTCACTTCTGTTTCCATCATTTCTCACGCGCCACTGCGACGATGAGCCTAACTCTGATTACCCGCCCATCAAGGCCCACATCCCACAAGACGACACGGAGAAAGGTCCTTTGAGCCCTAGTCAAGAAGTTATTCCTGCGTCTTCCATAGTCAAGGGTATTCAACCGACCAAGAAAGCAGAACAGCAAATGTTGACGCAATCTTCAGGCCATGAGGACAAATAGCTAAGTTATTACCATAATTAATTATGTTCCTTATGTGACAATTAGATTAAGTCCTTACTAATTTAACACTAACTAGATTAAGTCGTTACTAATTTAACTCTAACTAGATTAAGTCCTTACTAATTTAACTCTAACTAGATTAAGTCGTTACTAATTTAACTCTAACTAGATTAAGTCGTTACTAATTTAACTCTAACTAGATTAAGTCGTTACTAATTTAACTCTAACTAGATTAAGTCGTTACTAATTTAACTCTAACTAGATTAAGTCGTTACTAATTTAAACTCTGTATGTGATTAATTTGATTCGTGCTTTGATTAATCAGGATTATGGCATGACTACATGATTCTTCAAAGTTGTCAATGCGGTTCATTAGATGTTTCAGAAGCTTAATGTGCTATTGTTTTTGTCTAGGTAATACATATACAAGATGGCGGTGTTATTATGTTTGTTGTATTGTTATTACTGTCAAACAGCTTTTTCTGTGTTAATACAAAATATCCCCTATAGTTTATTCTCTCAATACCAAGCAGCTTACCACGCGTTTATTGGTTCTTAACCTCTTTGTGACTTATCCATATCCTTTTTTACCCCATCTGAGACTCTTTCAGTACCAATGATAGGGTGACAATGCATCCCGTTTTCACTGAGACAGTCCCGTTTTTTTCACCGAGACAGTCCCGTTTGTTTTCACCGAGACAGTCCCGTTTTTTCACTGAGACAGTCCTGTGTTTTTTTTTTCCCCACAGAGACAGACGGGTTTTCACCAAGACAGACGGGTTTTCACCAAGACAGACGGGTTTTCACCGAGACAGACGGGTTTTCACCGAGACAGACGGGTTTTCACCGAAACAGACGGGTTTTCACCGAAACAGACGGGTTTTCACCGAAACAGACGGGTTTTCACAGAAACAGACGGGTTTTCACAGAGACAGACGGGTTTTCAGAGAGACAGACGGGTTTTCACAGTGACAGAACGTTTTCACAGAGACAGACAGGTTTTCACAGAGACAGACGGGTTTTCACCAAGACAGACGGGTTTTCACCAAGACAGACGGGTTTTCACCAAGACAGACGGGTTTTCACCAAGACAGACGGGTTTTCACAGACAGACGGGTTTTCACCAAGACAGACGGGTTTTCACCAAGACAGACGGGTTTTCACCAAGACAGACGGGTTTTCACCAAGACAGACAGGTTTTCACAGAGACAGACGGGTTTTCACCAAGACAGACGGGTTTTCACCAAGACAGACGGGTTTTCACCGAAACAGACGGGTTTTCACCGAAACAGACGGGTTTTCACAGAAACAGACGGGTTTTCACAGAGACAGACGGGTTTTCAGAGAGACAGACGGGTTTTCACAGTGACAGAACGTTTTCACAGAGACAGACAGGTTTTCACAGAGACAGACGGGTTTTCACCGAGACAGCCCCGTTGTTTCACCGAGACAATCCTGTTTTTCACCACGACAGTCCCGTTTTTAAGCAGTGTCCCGGCCGTTCCATTGGCATTCCAGAAAAGCAAAATGTCCTGTTTTATATACAAATGTAAGAACTATCCAGACAATAAAACATGCACTTATAGTTATATCATTTCTGTAGCACTTATTAGACTTCATAGTTTTAGGTACTTTTAAGGCCTGAAATGGAAATCTGTTGATGAGAATTTCAATTCTAGTAACCCCCCCCCCCCCCCCTCCCCGCCATCCAGCGAAGATAAAGAGATTACTGTTTCGTTTATTTCTTGGCGTTAGTAGGTCGGGCTTTAATACCATTGTAGATTGAGTCAATAACCCTTTCACCCCAGTGACGTAGAAAAATATTTTTTTAAGGGAAAAAGGGGCGGGGGGGGGGGGGGGGATAACTGGCTTGCTTGGGATGTCCTGTTTTCTGTTTAAAATAATATGGTCATCCTTACCAGGGAGCTTACAATACGTGCATTGGATATTCTGTATGCAGGATATATTTCTATGTATACTCTGTTTCATTCTTCTGTTATAAACTCCTTACATTTGCTATATAGGGCGGGGCTGTTTAAGTGAAGCCGTACAAGTGTAACAGAAATTATAAAAGCCATGCCATTGTCTTGTAACCTGTCAATATTGTTGTTAAAAATATCAAGAGTGTTAAGCACGTGGCATCATGGTGCAGATGAACACGGTGACGTCATATATCATAAGGATTGTTTAAACATTGCTGCTCCCGTTTTGGACATCCACCAAAGAGGATCAGAATCCCGTTATCAGTCCCCCTTTATTCACCGAGACAGTCCCGTTTTTTTTTTTTTTTAAACTGAGACAGTCCCGTTTTTTTTTTTTTTTTAGCCGTGTCCCGGTCGTCTCATTGGCAGTCAGTAAAAGGCTAACAACCTAAAGAAATTCATCGGCGAACGAAGGTGCAGTATGGTAATGCACGCCTGTTAGCCCAGCAAGTGTATGAGCGGAGTAAGAAGTTAGAAAACGGCGTGACTTCTGTGACAGACTATTCACTATCTGGTCGTGAAACCCTCTCGTATTAATTCTCATTCATATAACAAGAAAAACCCTTTCAATCCAGTAGGTTTTATTAGAGGCACTACAAAGGAGAACCTATCGCTGCGAAATTTTATAACTATTCATCTTTTAAACACAAAATACACAGTATAAGTGGCCACTGGGGGAAGCCATTTGCACTCTGACCAAACGTAAAATATAAATAAACGCACTGCACTTTAGGTGGGTTTCATGTAAAGAGTCTAACACCCATCATGTATTGCTTGGGTCTTAAAGAGTTAAATTTTCCCAAACCGGCATTTTTATCTAAAAATCTGACACATGGTGACTTGAAGAGACAGTATTTAGATGTCCACCCAATAAAAACTAATCTTACAAAGACCCTCGTTCAAACGCATAAAGGTACTCGACGGCAAAGAAGTAACCTGGTGTCCAACTTTATCACTATCATCCTTTCGCGCTGTTACATATCATACAGTGCTCGCAGGGTATTGCTCAGTTCTACTCTGTCCTCTTAAATCTTTCTGATATTAGAGTTGAAACCTAGCATTTTAAAATGTTTTTCAGTAACGACGGAAACCCGTGGTAGCCAAGTGAATAACACGATGGGACACGTTTCCTAGACAGTTGATAATCACGTTTAAAACTAAAATGAACGATTGAAGAAATTGTTACGGTGTCTGTAATATTTTGAGCTAAAAACGGGACAACTTCTTTGAATTCTAAAATGACATTGGGACGTCCTACTTGAATTTGGAGCTGTAAATAGGACGCCCCACTTGAATTTTGAGTTGAAAATAGGACATCTCAAGCGAAGTGTGAGCTGAACATTTGACATCCCCATTCAATTTTTAGCTGAAAATAGGACGTCCTGCTTGAATTTTGAACTGAAAATGGGACATCCCCCTTGAATTTGGAGCTGGAAATGAGACATTCCATGTGAATTGTGAGCTGGGAATTTCACGTCCCAGTTTAATTTTGAGCTGAAAATGGGACATCCCCTTAAATTTTCAGCTGAAAATTTGACATCCCACTTGAATTCCCAGCTGAAGGTAGGACGTCCACTTGAATTTTTAGCGACATCCTTTCTAAAGATCCTTCAACATGGGAAATGATCAAGGCATACAACATATACCTACAGCCTAACAATACAGTCACAACAACAATTCCATGCATAGACAGAAAGGCTAAAGAATGTAACCTAGTACTGTATGCAAAGACCTTTGAACATGTCTACAACAGTTATCCAAAACCCAAATGGACTCACGTATACACCGATGGATCATTGGAGGGAGCAGGAAAAAACACAGAGGAGCTGGATCGGTCATCATGCTGCATAAAAAGACCACTGTAGAAACGACATGCGCCTCCGGAAAACTTTAATCGAACTGTAGAGCAGAGCAGCAAGCAATTATTGATTCAGTCAAAGTTCTCACTCTACCTACAACTTCTAAAAGACTTCTGGCCTCAAGAGCAAAGTGTGCAGAATAAGCTATGGGTAACCATGAAGGACCTGCAGTTGACATACGAGTTCATTGAGGCAACCCGCCTAATGGCCTGGTCTGAACATAAGAAACCAAACGCAAAGAAGAAGAAGAATTGTGAGCTGAAAAGGGGGACATCCTACGTGAAAAGTCAGCTGAAAAAAAAAAAAAGACAACACAACCAGGTCAATTTAACCCCCTCCACCCTCCCCCCCCCCCCCCCCCCCCGTTTTTTTCTAGTTTACCACGGTGAACTGGTTAAATACCCGCTTGACGTTTGTATTAGAACCTGACCGAATACCGCCAAGAAATAAACGGAACAATATACTTTTTTACTGCAATGAAAAAGCATGCTACAATGAAAATTCTTAACAACACATTTCAGGCACTAATAGTGTCTATACCTATAAATCTAATAAAGTCTATAAATATAACTATAAGTGTATGTTTTATTCTCGAGCTTATAGTCGATGTTTTTTAATAAACCGGGACAACAGGCGCTTATGGAAATATAATAAACAAATAGACAATGTATTAAAAGGCACTCATAAAAAGAAGTAGAAAGATAGAAGGTCACACTAGTAAAGTAAAGTAAAGATCCCTTTACACGCCCTTAGGCGCATCGGGCATATGGGAAGAGCACCCATATTTTTACAGACCACTCGGCACTAGGTGGGTAATGTGGTCAGCAGTACGCCGGCTGTCTTTACTTTCCCAGGACAGCCCATCCTGGTACCCATTTGAGGCTGGGTCGACCTGCGACGTCCCATACCACGATAAAAATCCACGCAGGTCACACTAGACAACATCAAAATCTAAAGCTTTAGTTACCGTGCAGGGAATCGAACCTGTCATCTCTAAATGGCGAGTGCTCCCCGCTATGGAAACAAATGTACTACGAACATGACCAGATAGGCACGGGACTAAAAAAAACAGGAGTTTCCCGGTAATAGCGGAACCTATGGACACTCTAGGAATTGTTAGTACATTTCTGTCTTTCCGGAAGATAATGTTATTCTGTGC